ACCTGCTATATGGCATAACCCCCACGTAACCTCAAATTCAATCATACTCCTAAAATGCAAACAAGGAGGAGGGGCAAGAACAGCGAATGGAGGACAGGGAAATAAGATGGAGTACCTCAAAGTTTGGTGCAAAAACGCGTGATCGCACCGGCTCGCCTGGTGCGTTCCAGCCTGGGCTTTTTTCCCCCTTTGCCCTCATCTACTACCCGCTGTGCCACCGTGCTACACAGCTCTTTATGGCTTAAGTTGTGCTGTGCACAAGATAACAGAGGAGGCGTGCAAGAATTTGATCTGGCTCTGTTCTTCCGAGCTTCGGTTGCCTGCTGCTTTATGAGCTCACTGATAAATAGTGGTGACAGTGAAGTTATGTGAAACTACTCAACCTCTTGCCTCATGATGGGCTTGGTGAAGAAACAAAACATCGATAATGGAGCACAAAAAACTATGGCGATGCTTATCGTCGTCATCATTGCAGATGACCCGGTGGCGGGCATCGGTGATTGGCTGGAAAACATACTGAGCACTGTACCGGCGATAATGGATCAGCAAGAAACTGCACAGAAAGGAATCTCGTTCACTTTTTCTTCTGTCTCGGCAAGTTGATAATTTTAAAATTTTTTTGGGGAATGCTCTGTGAATCCAAAGCAAGTGCTAATACTCATTTCTTATCACTTTGAACAGCTGCTCTGTCTTTTCTTTTTTTCGCCACCGCTGCAACTTGCAACTGTTCGGTTTTAGATGATTCCAAGCCGACTATAACTCTGTACGTTTGGATACTGTCCGATTCCAGTCCGCTACATGACTACTACTCAATAGTTCATCTTATCCCTTTGCATGAATATCATTCAGTAAAAAGGAGCAAATTACGGCTTTTACAATCGCCATAGGAGCTAATCAGCTCTTCTGATGTGTAATGTTCGAATAGGCCGAAAAGGTGGTAGACCGAGTCGTGATATGAAACTTTTCATTATTTAGGCTGAGTGAAATTTATTTTGAAAAATAAAAATTCTGTTCTTTTGCCATTACTGTCTTCTAACCTGTAATTTTTTTGGGAACTTTACCGGGCAGTCCTTTTCCTGTACTATGCCCCAGTTACCATTCTTCCTATATAGTAATGGGCGGGCGTCACTTCGGAGATAATCCGAGTGATTGTTTTTTGATATATCGCGCCAGGGAAGCGAACCACTTGCGTTTTCTAGCGAATCTTGCTTTCCGGTTGCTACTACTACTGCATCCTGCACCTCACTCATCTGATGGCTCATTTAACTGGCTATTTGACAAAAATATTTACTGGAGTTTGCGCAAAGTCGCTGTTTGGTGCGACGCTTAAGAAAGTTCTGGTCGAATTTGTAAGAAATTTCAAGAATTTCTATGCTTTTGTTGATTTTTTACTAGAGGAATCAAATTTTAGCTTATTATGTTGTGTGAACGATGCTTGGTGCTGCTGCTGCATATGGGTGATGCCTTCGATATCTGGACCGATGGAAGCTTTTTTTGCTACTGGGATTTATGCGCTGCTGCACCAGGCTGTGAACATGAGTACTTTACAATGGAAAATGTACTCGATTTACTAGTACAGTTACTGGAACAGGCCAGCTGCAAGGGATATCTGGATGAGGATGCAGAGGTAAAGTCTTTGCTTTCTTTTAGTTCTTCAGACAGGGCGCTTGAAATGTAAGCCCTCTTTTGGTTACTACTGAGAATAGCCTGTTCATTAACTCATCTGCGTCCAACTGTCTTTTCTTTAGAATAGTAATAAGATGCGCGTTCGAAGAGATTTGCATAAAATTAGAAAGGACTACACCTGAAAAAAATATGGCACGTCCGCTGCCAAAGCAGCATGAATAGAGAGGAGGCGTATCTTGCTTGAGGGTAATAAGTCCCAGCATCACTTCACCAAGTACAGGAGTTGATCTGGGCAACTACTAAATCTCGGTCGGTTCGACTGGCGCCATACACGATTGCGAAAAATTTTCCCTGTCAACGGTGGGTTTCCTTACCCACCGTGGCGAAGGGCGTTGCCTGGCGTCGGTTGGGTGGGTGTGAGGAGAGTTGGTGTATGTGATTTCGCTTGAGCGGATGGTTTGAATGGCTACGTGCCGCAGGTCTTTTGACGATTGCCTAGGTCACGCGTAAGGGAGGGGGAGAGGGGCGAAGGAAGGAA